ACAATATCCAAACACAAACGGGTCAAAGAATAGGATTTTATTATTATTATTATTATTATTATTATTATTAAAGGGAAGTATATAAGGGATGCTGGATCTACATAGGAAGAAACATAATTTTTCACTTCTGTTAAGGAGAAGATAGGCTGAAGACCTAGAGAAAAAGCTTTCTGTCAAAGGTAGACCCAAAATATTAGGCTGGACATACAGCAAGGAACACAGCTATGTTGCAGAGCGTGGCAATTAGGTGCTTGGGACAAAGCACCAGGGGGTACAAAGTTCTTAATTTTTGCAGAAAGAGACAAATCTTGGACAAAAGCACTAGACTCAAAAAGATCTGAGCTACAAAGAACTCTTGAGGATTAGGGAAAGAAAGGTTTGAGAAAGTCTGGGGAAGCTATGCCCCCAGGCACAGATTTTTTTTTTTAAGATTACAAGGAGAAACCAGAGCTGAAAAATAGGGGGTGGAGATCTTGGAGATACATTGTGAGAGAAGATGGGGAGAAATGTATGTCTAAAGGATCAAACAACCTTTTAGTTTGCAGTCAACAACCCCTTCCTTGAATCCAGCAACTAGGAAGCAGAAACGCGGAGAAGTTGCTGGGAATGGGAGACTGGAAAGAAAGGGGCTGCTGAAGGTAAGCGCCATATTTGTTAGGAATGAAAGCCAGGCAAGGACAGAGGGCAAGGGAGGGGGAAGAGGGGAGGAAGGCAGACAAGAGGGGAGGGAAACAGGAAGAGCAAGAAAGAGGCAAGGTGTTAGATTGAGGCAAATTGCTCTGGTGGGAATGAAACAAAGCCAGACCAGGAGGTTAGAAAGCAGCAAGGCAGAAGGCTGGGAGGCCTAGGAATTGAGGCCTAAGGATAGAGTTTGGAAAAGCAGCAGAAGCAGCAAACCAGGTGCCTTCCTTGCAGCCATGTTTTTTAAAATTTTTGCCAGGGCTCCAAAATGCCATAGGTAGCCTTGAGGAGTGCACAATTTGTACTCCAGCCAACAATACAAGAAGGTTCCGTAATGATGTCCTGCACTGCAGGGATGTTGTGAGGTTTACCAAGAATATATAGGAAGCACTTTGAAATCCAGACCCCAGAAGGCAGAGGAAGAGATGGCATAAGCAAAGGAGGATTATCCCTCCAAGGAAAGACGGAAGTCAAGAGGTAGAGAAGGCACCAGAAGAAATGAAAAGGGATGCAAACCGAAGGGAAGTGTGGAATTTACTAAACTCAGAGGAGGATGGGGTTCATTGCCTAATCTCACTATATGACTTCATCTGCTAACCCTGCAGGTCATTTCAGGCCCTTCTGGCTTTTAATAAGGCCTTAAAGCTTGGCTGTCCCCCCCCCCCCCCCAGGTTGTGGAGCCTGAGATCGCTTTGTCCAATCTAGCAGTGGAATGATTTTAGATGTTATTTACACTGTTCTGTTTCTAACCTTCAGTCCGCTGCCTAGAGTCATTGTTGGGTAGGGGCAGTAACAAGATTTGCTTAAACTTTTAAAGCTTAGTTGAGCAGAGATTCTGAACATGTGCAGCGAGTTTCTAGAAGGAATTTACGAGGGGAATCTCCAGAAACATAAGTTGCTCTGCTTTCCGCCATGCCCGCCCCCCAGCTCTGGTGGAAGTTTAAAAGGCTCACGGGGGGAACACGCGGCTCTCTCACCTTTTGGACTGCGGCTCCGCGGGGTTGCGATCCCGTTGCCGCCGGTTTTTGAACCAGTTGCTGACCTGCGTGAGCGAGAGGCCGGTGATCTTGGCCAAGTTGCGCTTCTCGGCCGGGGAAGGGTACCGGTTCTGCTTGTAGAGCTCCTTGAGGGCATTGCGCGACTTCTCCTTAAAGCAGTAGACCGTCTCCTCGCCGTCCCAGATGGTACGGGGCAGCGGGAACTTCCTGCGCAGGCGGTACTTGTCGACGGCGCCCAGGGGTCGGCCGCGGGCCCTCTCCGCCTCGCTGTAGCGCGCCTTGTACCAGAGCTCCTGCAGGAGAGGGTGGTTGGCGGCGTCGAAGCTGTGGCTCTCCAAAATCCCGTAGAGCTCGGCGTAGAGTCCCTGGTGGAAAGCCACCAGCGCCCGGGCTTTGAGCAGGCTCTCGTTGCCACGTAGCAGGTCGCTCTGGGGCAGGGACCACAAGAACCGGGCCAGGCGGTCTAGGTTCCCGCCTTGCTGCAAAGCCTCGCAGACGCAAGCGACGTGGTCCGGGGAGAACGCCAGCAGAGCCTGGGGCGAGGAGGAAGACGAGGACGACGATCGGGGCGAAGGCGAGGACAAGGGAGACGCGGCGGCGGAGGCAACGGCGCCGAGATTCCGCACCAAAAGTTCCGAGTGGAGTAGAACTTGACCCGCGACCCTCCCGGCTGCTTCCTCCTCCTCCTCGTCGTCCTCCTCCTCTTCTTCCCCGGCTCCTTCCTTCCTAGCAAAACGAGCCGCCGCCGCTGCGAGACCAAAAGGCTGTGCAGAGGTGGGAGCCGAGCCGCCCGAGGTTACCTTCTCGGTCGCCCCGCCGCAGAACATTTCCAGGACGTTCTCTTGCTTGATCGCCGCCACCACGCTGGGAATCGCGGTGGTGGGAGAGGCAGAAGACATCTTCCACCCCCCGGTCTGGGTTTGGTGTTAGGTGGAGGGGCTTCTCCCCCGGCTTTCTCCCCCCTTTTTTCTTCCTTTACAACCCCCCTCCCCGGAAAGTGCTCACACACCCCTCCTGCCGCCGCCGCTCCTCCTCCTCCTCCTCCCGGACCGCCACCCGGCTGGCGTTTAGCTGATCAAGTTTCCCCTCCGCCACGTAGTAACCATTAAGACAGCTTGTTCTAGCAAAGCTCGTGTAAACGGATCGCAGTTTCTTCTCCCCCCTTCCCCCCCCCCCCCCCCCCCCCCCCCCCCCCCCCCCCC